AGCAGTGACAGTGTGGACTGATATTATATTTTTATGTCTGTAGGTAGTAGTACTTCTAGCTGGTACTAACAATCATGGTCACACGGCAGAACAAGTTACAGGTGGTATAAAAGCTATTGTTGATACAATATCAGAAAAACAGCCTCAAGCCCAAATAATTGTCTTGGTAAGTCTCCTTACGTAAAAATTTTACAAACATAGTGGAATATTCAACTTTTTTGTACACCCATAATTTATTCAGACCCTTGCCAGTTAATAATCCTATTTTTACTTTAACCATGAATTTCAGATATATTTACTCTATTGAGAGCACTTGCTTTTTGTAAATGACATGTGTTGACTTAAATTATGTTGGATTATTATACATCTGACACTGAAAACGATAGATTCTACATGTCTGTAAAATGACATGCTTGAAAGTGTTATGAATATATTTGATTGTCTTCCTGATTGCAATTTGTGCATCTCGTTTATATTGATGGGTTACAGTGCTGAGTGCATGCTTCACAATATTCTTGTAATAATCTTGTATTATTATACATCTGTCACTGTAATGCCATAAAGTTACAGCCTGCCGTAATTTTGCAGTATTGCTCTGGATATTTTCATCCTACCATATTAGGAAACACAAATTCCAAATATGGAAAAATTACCTCCATAAGGTGTCCTCTAATGGGCTCATACCACTAATTGAATTTCCATAGACGACAATGTTAACATGTGACGAGATTGCTATATGAAAAGGACGACGAAAATTGAAAATATGGCTCAAAAATGGGAAATCAACATGCCAGTAATCAACCATATGAAAAAACTAACATGTTGGCCAGCTCAAACTCTTGCAAATCTCAGGTAAACAAGACACACCTACTGTATTTGGATTGCACCAAAAAAAATCACTGGAAAAACACCAAAATTAGAACATCCATTAACACACAGAATAAACCCACAGGTACACAGCCGCTAAGTAGTAAACAAAAGACCACATGTTGGTCTCACCTCTGACCCAGGTGATTACGCCCTCAAACAGGGAGCACCTGAGAAAAATAATATTTAAAAAATTTCATTGGTTCTTGCTAGGCATTTAAATTGAGGGCTACGAGCAGCCATTGGTTAATTAGTGGCATGAGACC